TGTGTGTGTTTGTGTGTTTGCACGCCCGCGTGTGTCGGTGGATGGGTGAGCATGTGCTCGAGTAGGTGCCTTCGTAAAGATTATGCATCCATCATAGCGACATTTTTGTTTCGGTCTTGTTTGTTTCTGAGTGCTCTGTGTGGGTGGGTGGGAATAAATTAAGTTTAAGGTGGGTGCATGGGGATCAAATCGGCTGTTAGATGAGCGAAAGTCGTGAGGAGTTTCAAACGATCTATGAACCAACACCTTAATTTTTGTTTTGTTTTGTTTTTCAGTCAGAATGAAACCAATGGTCTTTAAAAAATACTTGACATCAGGACCATTTTTGACAGCCATGACTGGCCTCACAAATGAATTAAGAGCGCCAGGGTTGGCTCTTGTATTTTAGATAACCAGTTTATATTCGAGCCTGATAAAAAAGTAAACAATAAACAAACAGACCCAAAAAAAAAGCAGTAGACGAATATCGGTAAGACATGATGGAGAATGAGAATTGCAGCTACTACACGTATTAACATGTGACCTACTTAAAAATGACCTGAACCCACAGTATTCTACGCGACTGAACCACCGTTTGGACGCGTAGAATAATTGCGCTTTATATGCCTCTATAGCAATAATAATGATTAATGATTGCATAAAAGTAAGCACTTAAGTCGTATTGGAGATCTTCAGGCAAAATTTAGTAGGCCTACATGTAGCCTATATAAAATTTAACAACGGCAATCTGTGCTCTTAAATAATAATAACTCGTACAGCAAACTTTAGATAACAGCCTTATTTGAAGACAATGTAAGATAAGATGATATTTTATTGTCCCAGTGGGAAATTTTTCTTGGCTTTACAGGAATGGTAAAAACAACGCAGAATTCAAATCATTTAGATCTATATTGCTTTAATAAATTTCCAATATTAAGAGAAGTTGAGGTTGTTTCAAAATGCTTTTATTGTAGGTCTGGATGGGGTAATAATTAGATCATGCTGTTTCGTGGCATGAATTTGCGATATACAGATGCTATATTTGATCACTATACCTGGGTTATAATATTAGAATTACTGCAAGTCAGACATTGTCACACGACGGTGTTTTGGTCAATCGAACCGCAGTTGTTGAGGTCCAAGAAGTCATATAAAATCATGATTCCGAGGACAATTGCCAAAGCTTGGCGATCAAGGTTAAAAAAATTTTTTTTTAATTTTTCGGATTAAAAAGAAATTGTTATCAATCCGTGTACTCGATTCTGACAGTCTAATGTTTAAATAAAATGCAGGTCCAATTTGTGCACACATGTGTGTGTGTGTGTGTGTGTGTGTGT